TGGTGCGCATTGCTTTTTGATGCCGGTGTGCACGCTCTTATCAACACTTTGCCAATGCATTCAAGCATGTGCATGTGCGCACGAGGTGCTGCGCAAAACCAGTATGAATGCGTCCGAAGCCTGCCCTACATGCACCACACACCGTTTGCCTGGTATTGTTTGTGCTCTCTGATGCACCTGCTGTGAACTCTCTGTGTATCCACTGTGGTGATTGCGGTGCGCCGAACACGATCCAACTGCCTGTTGCACATGAATGCAAGAACATCACTGGGCAGGGGCACCAACTTGCGGCCAACGCAACCACGCCCGCGCCCACATGCATTCAACACAGCAGCCAGAGCAAGAGCAGCCCAACAGAGGCCAGCCCGTAGCTACAGATCCCTTGGCAGCAGCCGCGCAGTCGCACCAAGGCGGTGCAGAGCGCGCACAAGCTGGTCACAGCATCTATCTTTCCAGGGCCCACTCAGCTCGAATACTGTCCCGCGCATCTTCCTTTTTTAGGTTGGGGAGGGGCGCGGCGCAGGCGCGTGCCGGGTCAAGATAGCACCGCGACACGCAGGCTGGTTGCTGCAGGTGCACACACCCGTAGCAGGCAGCACACCACCAAAGAGCAGCACTGCACGGCAGCCGCAGCTGGCGGCGCGCAGCAGCACACGGCAAGCTGATATTGCCTAGGGGGCGGGGGAGAGGGCGCCTGCTTGGTAGAGGGCGCTTTCCTGCTGGTTTACGCAGCTCGCAAACGCTCATGTTTCGCTCAGGCTCTTGTCATGCGCAGACGTCTCCTCAATAACAGCCTGCAGGCATAGCCGTATCACCGTACCTCCCTCCACCCTGGGGCAAGCAGAAGCTTTGGAATAGCTGCTGCTCAGTGCTCCGCGCTTTGCGCCGCCCACTGCGACCCGCGATCGCCCCGCCCTGCGCCGGGCCGAGCAACCGGAACATTTGTCCTGACAATACCCCATGCTTGTTGTGTGACCCTGGTGCTGTCAAAGCTCGCGTCTAATTACGTGGTTACCCCAACGCACACCATGAGAACCTGTGCCAACATAAACCACTCAAAGGCAATCATCCTGCCATCCGGCCTTCCAGCAAGTGTGACGGCATAAATGCATGCATCTCCGCTGACAGGTCAATAACGTCATTTGGGCAGTAATGGTGCAGCATGGGGTGCGCATCATCAGTGCAGCTGCGGACCTGCGGGAAGGCGACAAGCGCGCGTGTCTCATGCACGTCAGTTCGTGAAGCGCCGACAAGCATTGTGTGAACAGAGTTTGCATGGCAAAGGACATGGGTAAGGCAGCAGGCAGCCCTTGGCGGTATTTGGCGTGGCAAATGCCTGTGTTGGCGCTGTGCCAGCATGATTCACAATGGACAAAGGCAGGGAAGCAAGCAGGCAGAAGATGCGCGGTTCAAAGCAAGTTTGGACTTGCAAAATAATCTATCTGTGTTGGTGGGTTCAGCATCGTTTCTCTCTCAACTTATTGGCCCTGGCCCTGCTGCACAGGCCCGCCGGCCGCGGCCTCAGCCGACGCCACCCACGCCGCCGCGGCCCGCGGAGTGAGCGCCGCCGTCGCGCGTGGTGACGCCGGCGCCACCGTGGCTGCCATCAGCGACGCCATCAGTGCCTTTGGGGACGCCGGCCCCCCAACGCCGCCGCCGCCCCCGGCGCCGTCCAGCACGGGGGACCCGGCCTCAGCCCTGAGGGTGTGCATGCGCATCGCTAGGTGCTTGGCCGCCGCCGCGCTCAGCTGGGCGGCGCCCGGCTGCGGGGGCCCCGCCGCGGCGGCCAGCAGGCCGCTGGCCGACGGCGAGCGCGGGCTGCTGGGCGGGGACACCCCGACGT